TTTAATAAAAAGTAAATCTTTAGGGCGGAAGTGGTGTAGTGACAAGTGGCGCGCTTACCACGCGAGCGGTCCGGGGATCAAATCCTGGGTCGTGAGTCGCCCGGGCCAACCAAGCCTTCCATCCCTCCGGGGTCGGTTAATTGGTACCAGACTTGTCTGGGAGGATAAAAACACTGACTTGTACATCGGCTGGCCCCCGCAAGTCATTGTATAGGCCACATCGCATTCAAACGCCACTGCGAATGTACAAATGGAAGTAGAATGCGTGCCGCATCCCAAAAGGGATTGATCAACGGCAAATGCTTTATCCTTTATCCTTTAAGCGTCAAACACTCGTTTCATTTTTCTCGAAGCGTCAGTACTAAAAGTGAATATAAGAAACCAAAAGTCTTACTGTAATTATTGCAGGAAGGTGTTACTTGCCCAAGGTGGAAGGACCGCTCAGATGTGACCAGCCTCAGGCGAAGTACTGGTACGATTACAACACGAAACAGTGCGCTGCAGTTCTGGTGGCGGGGCTGTCATGGAAATGCAAACAACTTCGCTTCGTGGGAGGAATGCAGTGTAAGTTTTTTCTTGAATTTTCCCAATCTTTCTGTGAGTTTGATTCTGAAGTGTCCATGAGATTCGTGTTCAGCAGTAGGTCGCTTCTATTACATCTGTTCAGATATCGAGAGAAAATTGGCTTTTGGGGAGAACGACACGGCATTTGTTTACGTACCAACCAGTTATGAGATCAGTCGAAAATTTTCTGTTTCTGATACGTGACGCAGAATCGTTCTGCGACTTATAGAAAGCTGATGATTGTGTAGTGATTCTTAGGTCTCCTACTTTCTCTAGTTGCAGAGATCCAGTTTGCTTAAATGTGGTGTAACTTTGTGTTTATGTGATATTTGGTCATGAAACGTCTGTTACTATCAAAGTCTGTGCAGAGAAATATCCAGATTAGACTTGTGCGCTCATGGACCTTACTGTGTGCTGTACGACTTGCTCCCATCACCTGCCTATTTTTCTGACATTCCGACTTTGGAGACGGGCTGATGTATTACTTATAAGTTTATTTCCAGACTTTCTGTAAAGACGTTGGACCATTCGCGACTACAGCAGCACCAGCTCCTCAACCACCTCAACCGCCACGAAATGCCACAGAGGTTGAATCCGCGGAGGTTGATCATGAAGTAAGATATTCGGCAGAAATTCATGTAATGTGTGATATTTTCTCCGAAAAAGTAGGTATGTTATTGTGGTATCTCGTCCAATCTTCCCGTCCATCGTTTCAGTGATGGATACTCTCCCAGTCCGTTTTTCATAAAGCTTCATAACCGTTGCAATAAATAAAAGCGAATGAGAACGAAAACATAATTGGTGATCAATTTAGGTTGTTGCCCATCCCATTATTGATGAGCGACCGACCCCAGGACAGAGATACGATGATCGCCCGCGGCAGCCTATGCGTAAGTCTTTGAATTGGGATAGTGTTGTGGAGCCATAGGAACATTGCGAAATTGTGAGTATGGAAATATCATCCAGTCGATGTAGTTTTCCGTGTGTTCTATGTTAGAATTTGACGACTAGCAACTGAGTGGTGCTGGTTCGGTTAACGATTCAGCTTCGAAGAGAAACTGTTTTATGATGAATAAAAGAAGCATTAGCTACAAGAAAGATGGATTAGAATGAGCTCCTTCTTGAGCTGATTGTAATCCTGATTTGTAAGACCACTTTCTTTTACTCCTTCCTGTACGCAATCATAGTATGTTGCATATTTTCTCTTTAGCAAATATTTGTAGCTGTTGAGGATTCTTTCTTTTTCAAGCTTTATCGTTGAGCTTTCGCTGATATAAAGAGAATATTCAAAAAATGAGGCTCAGAGATAACTCCATTTTACAATAGTATGTTGCGTTAGGCGGGTGAACAGGGACTTCACGATCATCGAAAAGTGCTGAGACGCTACAGCCAAGTGGCCCCATTAATAATTAAGGGGCTGTGTCTGCTTATTATACTGTACTACTCTGGATTGCGCCTCTAAGTCTAAATCACCCGAGATCCTTTTGAAAACGAATGGCCAGAACCAAATGTCCATATTCCCCGAACCCAAATTACATTGCGCAAGTTTATGGAGTGCGTCGGGGTGGGCTTCAACTTCTATAGTCATATGTCGACCCTGAGCATCCTGAATGCCGAATGGATAGTTTGATAGATTTGCGATTTGGGGCGTTCTGATATCTTGTCGTAGCAGAGAATTATGGTCATTGACCGCCAAGCCACCCAGGCCTCACGGGTGAGTCAGCTGAAAACTCAGGCTGTCGTCAGAGGCGATTGCTCGATCAAGAAGTTGAACGATTGCGGCGTGTAAGCTCAGTACCATCGATCTCTATAGAAACTTGCTTGTGCAAATCGATCTTCAAATATTCCTTCTATTTAACCTTTAACCTGAGTTCAAATACGCGTAGGTGCTTTCTGTGTGAGGACCGACTGAAACACAGTTCTGGATGGCTGGGGCAAATCTTATTGTTATTGCTCAGGTCAAATAGTGCATTTTATTACGTATTTTTTATATGTGTAATCAACACATGTTCAATTTATGATTTTTAGCAACGATCGAAGAAGTGTGTAGATCTACGCCAAGACTCCGGCCCCTGTCAGGATTACTCAGATCAATTTTACTACGACGCTTATAAAGGTTTTTTTTTTCTACTTCCATCTGTTCAAACTCCCTATTACTTAAAGCAAGCGAGGCTCCAGTCGCGCCTACGCAGGAGTAATTCCCATGCCCGGAGGTTGTATGTAGCTGCTGCACACATTGCAGCAACTTCCCACCTTGAAAAACGTCGTTAAGCCCCGGGGCCGTCGGTTTCAATCCGGACCGCCCACCTCCGGAAGTGGTGCGTGGCTGGCATAACGTGTGAAATCAGCTAGGTTGATTGCCGTATCAACCGATAGAACGACTGACATCTCCAGAAAACTTGTTTGTACGTGCCTCTTTCCCAAGCCAGCCTCCTTCACTGCTAGTGGGAAAGAGGGTTTTGTTAACGGCCTTGTCGACGGTTTTTCTCAGTTTTTTCTTGTCGTTCCACTTCGCATCTCTATACTCAGTTTCAATCGCCATAATACCCCCTTATTGAGCCCGACTTTTGCCTTTCAAGCACCATTTGCAATTATTTTATTCACAGAAGTTGTTTTTTTTTCTCAGTCTTGTTAGTATGTGAGCGTCACCGTTGCAACCCTTACAATTGACCTGTATGGGTTACAAAAATGCAGATGCGATATCAACCCTTCTTCTAAAATATGAGAATAGTCTGACTTCTTGGGTGGATGTTTCCATGTTTTAAAGTTCGGTGAAAAGTACGAGCAGTTTCCAGTTCTTGTAGCATGGTACTACATATAGCGCTAGCTTAACTCAAAAAAAAAACACATTCACTATTCAATTGGGGCAGGTCGCAGAGTACCGAGGGCCTTCAAGGCTGGCAAACACCATTTCACAGTAGAGATATGAAAGTTTGTACCACGAAAGGGGATCTACATGAGCTTGTTAAGGAACCTGCGAGACGTTTATTATATGAGTGGCGTGGCAGAAACCTCAATCGTTTCCGTACTGAAGAAGAATGTATGCAACGCTGTGGTTTCCTAAATCCAACAGCCAGCCCCGCTCATCAAGGGCGTGAAGGTATGCTGCCTTTGTCAGTTCATGTACGCACTCATAAATGGAATTTTTTGAAAATTCGGGATACTTGCTTCCTAAAGCTTGTTATTTGGACGCGTAAAGAACGTGGAAGTGCAGACTTGGACTATTCTTCGAGCAGATGATTCTCATACCAAAATATTCAGATCGAGTCAATCCGCAGCGCAACAACCACAACCGGAATCCGAGTTCACCTCCAGCAACCGACGCTATCCGATCACGTCACAGGGGCTGGTGCGGCCACCACCGCCAGTCGTGCCACAGCAGCCAGGTTACGGCAGTCCCCCTCATTCAGGTATTTTTATTTCATGATTCCATGTGTGCAAGTTATATGTTCGTTTAGGCGAAGAGGGCAAGCGCTCTTGACTTTCAAAAAAAGCATTTTGTCTACAGAATGTTTGAAAGTGAAAACCTCTGGCAAAATTGTTTTTACCATACAGTGAGAACCCACTTTTTACCAGCCGTTCTTTGCTACCTGTTCACCTAGTTTCATAATCATAATCTTTTTGATGACTATTACCTGTTTCATTACTATCATTCAATAATTCTGGATTATTCCCTTTCTAGTGGTCCACCGTTATCTTTCACATTTCGAACTGTTGTACATAGTTCCCACTGTAATTACAAAATGCAACATCCCCATCAAGCTTTTTCTGTTATCATGATTTTGGTATCCAATTTATATGTATTTAGTAAAGTCACGGCAATCTTGCCATTTGCCACTCGACGTCGGCAAATGTCAAGGCTCGTTTGACAGTTGGTATTATGAGATGGCGACTGGCTCATGCGTTGAGTTCAAGTACTCCGGATGTTCTGGTAACGCGAACCGATTCGCTACTCGGGAGGAGTGTTGAAAGCACCTGCGTTCGTCAACCTGAATCACACCCTGGTATTTTTTGTTCATTATTCTTAGGTTTAGAATACTGTGTCCTAGTTTCTCCTTTTGTCAAAAGAAAGGATATTTCAAGATGCTGCCTCTCAAGGAGAAATTTCCGTTTGTGACGAGGCTAAGGAAACAGGTCCATGCACTAACTTTGTCACCAAGTGGTATTACAACAAGGTGAGCAAATTTTTTCTGTTTTCATTCTGTAGGAGATTTTAGTAAATTTCTGTGCAATATTTAAGGCCGATGGTACGTGTAATCGATTCCACTATGGTGGTTGTGAAGGGACTAGAAATCGGTTCGATAACGAGCAGAGCTGCAAGGCGGCTTGTGCTAACCACCAGGCCGGTAAAAAGTGAGTATTCACTGTAAATTTTGCCATAGGTTTTCACTCTTAAGCACCCCACAGACGAAATACTCATTGGAAAGGACAAGCATTGACACGGTCACCATACATAGCAACGTAGTTTACTGAATGTGCTGTGCTTTTTTAATCAACATCGCGTCACTACAAATTTGTAATCTCCGTGAAAAAATTCCTTTTATGTCGCATCCAGTTCATGAATTGCTTACTCGAGGCAAAAAAGCGCCTTCCACCTTCGGGACTTCGCATCCAATACCGCCAATTGGTAGAGATAGAGGTCGGGGAGGGGAAGGGGGATGAGGTGCAAATAAGTAGATGCAAAGCCCTTGTCTTCCTCCATAAATGAACATATTAACACAGAACACATGGAATCATGAAATAAAAATACCTGAATGAGGGGGACTGCCGTAACCTGGCTGCTGTGGCACGACTGGCGGTGGTGGTCGCACTGGTCCCTGCTGACGTTGGTCCGGATACGTCGGTTGCGGTTGCTGAGGTGAATCGGATTCCGGTTGTTGTGGTTGTGCTCGATGACTCGGATCTTGAATATTTTGGTACTAAGACAAATGCTCGAAGAATAAGTCAAAGTCTGAACTTCCATTCCCTCCGTTCAAAATAAAAACTTAGGAAACAAGTATCCAGAATTTTCAAAAAATTCCATTCATGAGTGCGTACATGAACTGACAAAGGACAGTATACCTTCATGCCCTCGATGAGGGGGGCTGGCCGTTGGATTTAGGAAACCACAGCGTTGCATACATTCTTCCTCAGTACGGAAACGATTGAGGTTTCCCCCACAGCCACCATAAATGAACGTCTCGCAGGTTCCTTAAGAAACTCGTGTAGATCCGTTTCTCGTTACACAGCTTTTATATCTCTACGTCCATACAACTATTCTACAGAAGTAATGAACTGCTACATGAATTATAAAACAAATATGTGCTTGCGGCTAAGATTTCTATACGCTGGCGAAAAATTCCTCCTACTTCAAGCTTGACTCAAGGTAAAGACTCAAGTGTTGCTAGATGGAGGAGGATATACTGGCACAAAAGTTGATCCTGCTCATTAACAACATTTTCGTATCAGGCGGAAGCTCTGTATGAGTGAGATAGACTACATTTGCAAGAAAGAAGTAAAGTGTATGAAACAGAAATATTTGTCAGGCTTGAATGCTCTTTTGCTCTGCGTCTTGCACCCAAATGAACTGGTAAGTGACCTTATTAAGAAGACCCAGCGCGATAGCCCCATATGTTACGTATATCTAATCCGTACAGGTAAAATGTTAAGGTCGCAACGGTGGCGCTTACGGATTAACAAGACTTGGAGAAAAAAACTGTAAATAAAACAATTGCAAGTGGTGCTGAAGTAATAGGGAGTCTGAACAGGTGAAAGTAGGAAAAAAAACCTTTATAGGCGTCGTAGTAAAATTGATCTGAGTAATCCTGGCAGGGGCCAGAGTCTTGTGTAGATCGACACACTTCTTCCATCGTTTCTAAAAATCATAAATTAAACATGTGGGATATAAATGTCAATAAATGCCATGTTGACCTTGAGCACATAACATACATAATTATGTAAAAAAAATTATATATTTTTATCATCAATATTCATGTTGCCAACATGGCAATCGCTG